CTCAGGCTCCTGTGTCCAGGCTGGGCAGGTCCCGGGCAAGTCAGGCCGGCAGATCCGAGTCACTCTGAAGACACTCACGATGCATCTGGAATCCCGGGAGAAGCCTATGGGAATGAGCCAGCCCGGGCACCAAGGAATCCCCCAGGACTGTGACGAGGAAGCCATCCTGGCCATGCCCGCATCCTGCTGGCCAGAGCTGCCCGCCGCCCACCAGGATCCACCAACTGGACCTAATGATCCGCACATTGATCTCCTGCCAGTGCTATCTCTCGGGGCCTCGCTAATGCAGCAGCTCGGCCGTCAAACGACCGAGTGCCAGGAGCCCGGGTCGCACACGTGCGAGAGCCGGGCCGGAGAAAGGGAAACTGCTGGACACGGCAGGCTCCGTGTCGAAGCCCATGGCCCGAGCCTCAGGGTCTCATCAATGGGGCCACACCTTGGGGGTTCTGGGGGTTCCGTGCTCAGATTCCCTGGGTGGGGGGGAGGTGGCCCAGGCGAGTGGCTGCATCCCGCTCCCCACTTTGGGGCGGGACTGTTGTTGCCTCCCTGCTGGGCGTCCTGGCCCCTCCCTGAAAACTGGAAACTGGGGTGGGGGGTGGGGGTGGGGGACAATGGTGCTGGGACTGGTGTTGGAATATTAAATGTAATAAATCATAAGCAACTTTATAAAAATTAAGTTTTAAAAATACTGGTTCAAAGAACAGTTTCCTCCCATCCTGTAGAGCATCTTTTTCTGTCAGCTGGCATGTTTGATGCTAGGCAAAACCTTCTCCGCTTGATGCAGTCCCATTTGTTCATCTTTGTTTTGGTGTCTTTGCCAATGGAGTAGAATCACTGAAGAGCCCTCTGAGGCCCAGACCCAGAGAGTTCTGGAGAATTCTGGAGAATCCCAGAGAGTTCTGGAGAGTTCCAGAGAGTTCTACCTGTGCCCCTCAAAGCATCTCCTGGATTCTGTCTCTGGGCTAGAAAAGAGCAGGAGCATGAGGCATGTCGGGTCCTGCACCACATTCTCAGGGTGGTTTCTGGTGAAATAGTATTTCCTACACCGTCTACTGACCAGGTGCGTTCTAGGCCTCAGACCTGGACCTAAACACGATTCCCCAGCATTGCTGCTGCGGCCAGCCACAGGGCTCAGCGTTGTTGGGCAGGAGGATCCCTGCTGACCAGCCTGTGGGTGCAGTGCACAGGTGGGGGGTGGCCTGACAGGCCATACTGGGGGGGTCAGTCCCATGGGGCTGTGGCCGCATGGCCAGGAGGCGTCAGAGAGATGGCAGGAGCTAGCATTAGCGCGTCTCCAGGCCCCGCCTGGTGCTGATGCAGTGACAACAGGGCTCAGTGTGGGAAAGGGCAGGGGCCGACAGCCGGGCCTGTGTCCTGGCAGGGTGAAGGCCCGGGAGCAGGGGCCAGACTTTCCCACCAGCCACTGCGCAGACAACCCCTGTCCATGTCTGAAAGCTGTGAGGGGAACGGGGCAGGTGTGGGTGGGGAGGGGCAGAGGTGAGTGGTGGAGTGGAGACAGAATAGGTATGAGTGGGGAAGGGCGGGTGTGGGTGGGGAGGGGCAGGTGGAGTGGGGACAGGGCAGATGTGGGTGGGAAAGAACAGGTGTGGGTGGGGAAAGACAGGGGTGGATGGGGAAGGGCAGGGGTGGGTGGGGAAGGGCAGGTGTGGGGGGAGGGGCAGGGGGGAGTGGAGAGGGGCAGGGGTGGGTGGGGAAGGGCAGGAGTGAGTAGTGGGGAGGGGCAGGTGTGAGTGGGGAGTGCAGGGGTGAGTGAGGGGGCAGGGGTGAGTGGGAAGGACAGGTGTGGGTGGGGAGTGGCAGGGGCAGGTGGGGAGGGGCAGGAGTGAGTGGGGAGGGGCAGGAGTGAGTGGGGAGTGCAGGGGTGAGTGGGGGGGCAGGTGCGGGTGGGATAGAACAGGGGTGGGGAAGAGCAGGGGTGGGTGGGGAGGGGCAGGAGTGAGTGGGGAGTGTAGGGGCGAGTGAGGGGGGCAGGGTTGAGTGGGGAGGGCAGGTGTAAGTAGAGAAGGGCAGGGGTGGGTGGGGAAGGACAGGGGTGGGGAGGGGCAGGAGTGGGGAGGGGAGGGGTGAGTGGGGAGGGGCAGAGGTGAGTGGGGAGTGTAGGTGCGAGTGAGGGGGGCAGGGGTGAGTGGGGAGGGCAGGTGTGAGCGGCTCCGGGCAGGGCCTGGCCGGCCTCTCTGTGTCTGAGCAGCTTTGTCAGGTCTCAGCTGCAGCCTTAATGAGGCCACCGGGTGCTGGCGTCTCGGGTGACAGGGCCCATATCTCAGCGTGAAGGCCGGGGGCGTCCTGACAGGTGTCACCGCGCATCCCCCCTCCCCCACAATGGCTGGCAAGGCCCTCTGTCCCCTTCTTTCGTCCGCACCCTCATTAAGCCTGGGCTCCCTAATCACCTGTTTCCTGGAACAGTCCTCGGGCTCAGCAACGGAGGCAATTACCCTGTAAGGAGGCGGCTGCGGGGCCCCCTCTGCCCTCCAATCCCGACACCCCTCGACCTCTGTCCACGCAGGGGGGCAGCTTGAAGGGCAGGATGCAGGGAGGCGCTCAGCTGGTGGTACAGCCGAGACCAAGGTGGGCTCTTTGCAGACACAAGCACGCCAAGACCCACGGGCCTGCACCCCAGGCAGTGACCAGGGACAGAGCTGAATGTGGAAGCTTCCTTGGGTCCCGCTGGGTGCCAGCCGGCCTCCCCAGGGGGTTCAGCGGCTCCGGCCCGAATGCAAGGGGGGCCCCTTCTGCAAGGAAGCAACCTTCCCGGGGCCCGGCAGGCTTGGCATGAGAAGCCGGGATCCTCACAAGGACGCAGGGGCCCCGAACGAGCACTGAGCCAGGAGTAGTCCCCGAGCACAGCACCAGGAGCCGCTCACTGTCTGCTTAGAGGTGAGTGTGTCCCCTGGGTTCCCTCCCTCCCCCCTCCCGGCTGGGCGTCCCAAGCCTCCCCGTGTCCTAACCCAGGCCCAGAGCCCGGTCTGCAGGGGGGTTCTTCTCGGCCCAGCTTCCCTGCCTCCATGGAAGGCGGAGGGTCCCCCCACCTAGGACCCTGGGACAGGCGGGGGACAGGGGTGGCCTGAGCGGGACAGTGTGGGCGAAACAGGTGCCTCGCGGGGAGGAAGCGTCTCGGCGGGTGCGGCTGTTTCCTGCTGCTGTCGCCAGCCGCCATCCTGCGGGCAAGGGGAAAGCAGGAAGCCTGAGCCGGGGCCCCTGAGGGCCAGGCTGGACAGGGCCTGTAATGGGCTGGGCGGGGCCTGTGCCGGACTGGGCGGGGCCTTGCCAGACTGGGCGGGGCCTTGCTGGACTAGGCAGGGCCTGTGCCAGGCTGGGCGGGGCCTGGCTTCCTCCCTGGATGAGTCTCCGCTTCTCTGTGGCTCCTGCGTCTGCTGCTCCTCAGGGACAAGTGTCCGTCCAGTGTTCTTGGGAGCTGGGCGGCAAGCGACTGGCTGCAGACGCGAGGAGGGCAAAGCCACTCTGGGTTGGGGTGAGTCGCCGCAGGGATCAAATGTCCGGTGTAACAAGGCCCCAGGCCCCCGGAGCCCTGGGCAGCCAGGAGGGCGAGTGACCAGTGACCGAGGCACCTCCCAGATTGAGAGGCGCGGCTTAGCAGAGGAAGGGCGGCTGCGCCTCCCCGCCCCTGGCTGAGGATGCCCTGACCCCGCGCAGCCCCCGCGCCTCCTTGCCCTGGGCTGCAATCTGGCGGGAATCTGGGCCCACCTCTGGCTCTCTCCGTCTCCAGGGCTGTCCTCAGCTTTCTAGCCGGTGGCCCTGACCACTCTGGCCCCAGCTCTCCATGCCCGAGCGTGGGTCACCCTCCACACACACAGACACCCCCCCACACACACCCATACCCCACACACAGACCCCCCCCCCACACACAGACCCCACCCCTCCTCGGCCTGCCCCTCCTGGGGACCCTGGGGTGTCTCCTGGCTCCCTGCCCTTGTCCTGTGCCCTGCCAGCCCAGCCGGCCCTCCCCTCTGCCTCCCTTCCCCTCCCCTCTGCCTCCCTTCCCTTCCCCTCCCTCTCCCCTAGCTCGCCCTCCTCCCTGACCCAGCTTCCGGGCTGTGCTGGCTTTGCCGGTCTCACAACTCCCCCTTCTGGCCTCCAGCTTCTCCAGCAGTGACTGGCCGTTTCACTGTCCTGGGAGAGTCCAGGTGAGGCCGACTCGCAGTGACCACAGAAGCATCCCTTTGGCCCCGGGTGGGCATCAGCCGCAGAGCCGCCTCCCGCCACCCAGCTGGCCTGCACCTGGGTCCTGGGTGCTGAGTCTGGGAGCTGAGTCCTGGGTGCTGAGTCCGGGTGCTGAGTCAGTCCAGGTGCTAAAGACTGAGTGCTGAGTCCGGGCTCTGAGTCTGGGTGCTGAGTCTGGGTTTGCCTCCAGCACTGAGCTCTGTCCGGGCAAGGCTCAGTCGCAAACTGGCCCCTAAGTGTTCCCCAAGCCGGGTCCCTCCTGGTGTCTCAGGCCACAGGGTGGCAGGGATGCTGCTGCCTCAGGGGTGTTCAGGGTCCCCCTGAGCGTGGCCTGGGAGCCTAGCTGGGGCAGGAAGGAGTCGCGGAGCAGTGCTCAGCAGGGCCGTGGGGATGCTGGCAGCTGGCCTGGGCCAGGGCCCTGATTTCTCTGGGAAATGGACCTAATTGACACCCCATCACTTCCAAAGCCAAAACAACACTGTTTGGGTCTTTTTCCACTTGAAACTCAATCTCTGTGAGAAACAGTCGTCCAGGTTGGCCAGCCGTCCAGGCCCAGACTCAGCCAGAGGCAGCAGGGAGAGGCACGGAGCCCAGAGCCACACGGAGGCCGAGGACAGCCAGGTCGGAGCTGGCAGGACCGAGGAAACAGGCCAAGACCCCAGGAAGGGCGGGGCACTCTCTGCGCCAGGGACGGCTTCCCCGACTGGGCTGTCCTCTCTCCGTGGCCCTCTCCTCTCTCCCGTGTTCCTCTCCTGTCTCCCCTGGTTCTCTGTCCCGTGGCTCTCTCCTCTGTCCTGTAGCTCAGGAGAGCGTGGTGGAGTGGCCCGGAGCATACACCTGCTGGGCACCTCGAGGAGACTCGGAGGCGCACTGTCAGCCAGGGAACGCCGGGCAGCTGGAAGTCACGGGTGCGGGAAGGGCTGCTCCAGATCCCTGTAATAAAGGTTCGTATCCTGTGGGCAAGGCAGGATCACCCCCCGCCGCTGTGGGGCCACCTGCTCCACACCCCCGCCGTGGGCAGCCTGTCCAGAAGTGCTGTGGGCAGGTGTCGGCCGGGCGTGTCCACCGAGGAGCCTCCCGCCCTGCTTCACTCCGGCACTCCCCACCTTTGGAATCCCCTCCCCGCTGCAGCACTCGGTGACTGGGTGAGGGGACGGTCCCCCCCCCAGGGACAAGGGTGCGGGGGTGGGCGGAGGGCCAGGCTTCCGGGCTTCAGAAGGGCTGCTCGGCTGGCAGAAGGAGAGGGAGCAGGGGTCCACCCTGTAGGCTACTCAGAGCCGCGTGGCACAAGGCCAGAGCAGGAAGTGCTGGAGTGGCAGGAGCAGGCCGCAACACCACAAGAGGGTGGCCAGGGAGGGGCGCCCAGCTGCTGGCCACAGAGAAGGGCCTTCCGGGCCCTTCTCCCCATCCGCCGAGTTCCTGGAGTACTGCCCCGGGCAGAGACAGGCCTGCCCAGAGCATGTCTGCAGCATGAGAACACGGCTCACACGTATGTGATCATACATGAACACAGCCCACACACATGCACGGGACACACATAATCACATAATCACACATGCACACAGCTCATGCACATGCACACAGCTTACACATGATCAAACATGCACATGGCTCACACATACGCGCTCACATGAACTCATGTGTGCACATGGATCACACATGCACACGGTTCACATGAACTCACACATGCACATGGCCCATACACATGCATATGGATCGCATGCACGTGCTCACACATGCACACAGCTCATGCTTCACACATGCACATGCTTCACACGTGCTCACATGCACATGGCATGCACAGACTTCACACGTGCAGGGGCTCTCTCTCTCACTCTCACACACGCACACAAGGCGCTGCATCTGTGCGTCAGGGCCGTGAATCCCAGCCCCTTGCACCCGGCACCGGCTCCACACTGCCCAGAGCCTCCTCCGTCCTTGGTCCAGTCTCCCGTGAAACAACACGTGGAGAGGCAGCGAGTGCCCTCAGGGCGGAGGGCGAGCGGCCAGCTGCACGGGGGATCTGGACACCCGCACAGAGTGTGGGCCGTGAGCCCCTGCACACCGGGCATCCCAGCCCCTTCAGCCCCTCTTCTCACGCCTCTGTTGGGCACTGCAGAGCCCTGTGGGTCAGGAGCAGGGCCTGAGCCGTGGGAGGTGCTAAGGAGGCGGAATCTGGGGGGGCTGGGAGGTCTCAGGGGGCGGGGCAAAAGGAGCAGGTTCAATGGGCGGGGCCTGGGTAGGGGGCGGGGCCTGGGCCTAGCAGCCCCTGAGGCTGCTGGGGGCGGGGCGGCCCTTAGGGCTAGTGGATGGGCGTGGCCTGAGGCAGGGTTTGGACGAAGCGGCCGCTGAGGCTGGTGGTGGGCGGGGGCGGGGCCTGTGTTGGGTGGGCGGGGCCTTTGGGGCGGGGTCTTGATGGTGGTGGGCGTGGCATGGGGGGCCTGTGTTGGGGCGGGGCCTTAGGGCGGGGTCTTTCTGGGGGCGGGACCTTTTGGGGCGGGGCTTCTTTGGTGGGCGGGGCGTGGGCGGGCCGTCCAGCGCCGCGGCCGCTGCTGGGGAAAAGTTGCGGGGCCTGAGAGCGGCGGCGGCGGCAGCGGCGGCCGAGGCGGCGTGGACCGAGGGCGCCGGGCATGGGGCGTCCGGCGGGGCCCGCGGGCCGGCGGCGGTGGCCGGACGGCGGGCGGGCGGCGTGAGTGCGGGGCCGGACGCAGGATGCGCTCGCGGGGCGCGGCCCCCGGGTGGGCGGCGGGGCCCAGCGGGGCTCTGTGCCTGCTGCTGGGCGCGCTGCTGGGCGCAGGTGAGTGACCGCGGCCGGGGCAGGCAGCGGGGGGCAGGGCGGCCGGGGCAGGGGCGTGGGGACAGGGCGGCCGGGACAGGGCAGCGGGGACAGGGGCGCGGGGACCAGGCGGCCGGGGGACAGGGTGGCTGAACCGGGAACGGGGGCACAAGGGGGCCGGGGAACAGGGCAGCCAAGAGGACAGGGCGGCCGGGGCAGGGACGCGGGGACAGGGCGGCCGAACCGGGGACAGGGGGACAGGGCGTCCCGGAGCGGGTGCCCAGGTCCGAGGCGGGTCCGAGCCGGGAGCATGGGTCTCGGAGGCGAGCCCGGGCGCGGGGCCCTGGAGGGTCCCAGGTGGGTCCCAGGAGGGTGTCTGGGTCCGAGGCGGGTCCCGGCGTCCCTGGCGTCCCTGGCGTCCCCTGCCGCCCTGCACACTCGTCGGGGACGGGGCTGCTGGACCGGACCCGCCTGCCCGGTTCGGGGCGCAACCCCGCCGCAAGCGCGTGGACGCGGGTCCGAGAGCCGGGGTGGGCGGGCGCGGCACCGGGGGCGGGTCAGCCCCTCCGCGCCGCTGCGGGAAAGTAGCTTTGCGGGAAGCGGGAGACGCGGGCGCTCCCCCGAGCCCGGGACCGCGGCTGGGCCCGCGGCTTTGTCTCGGTCCCGCGAGCAGAAGTGTGTGCGTGCGAAAGAGTGTGTGTGAGCCCGTGCGTGTGCAAGTGAGCGCGTGTGTGTGCAGGCGTGTGTGGGTGAGTATGAAAGGGTGAATGTGTGAGCATGTGAAGATGAGTGTGCAAGGGTGTGGGCATGTGCACGCATGTGAGGGTGTGTGTGTGTGAGAGGGTGAGTGTGGGTTGTACATGAGAATGAGTGTGCAAGTGAGTGCGAGTTTGTGCAAGTGCATGGTGTGAGTGTGTGAGGATGAGTGTGTGTGAGTGTGTGAATGTATGTGAGAATGAGTGTGTGCGTGTATAGGTGTATGGGAGAGTGTGTGTTGTGAGTATGTGAGGATGAGGGTGTGTGTGAGTGTGGGAGAGTGAGTGTGCACAAGTGTGGGGGGTGTATGTGAGAATGAGTGTGCGAGTGTGTGACTGCGAGTTTGCATGAGTGTGTGGGTGTGAGGATGTGTGCACGTGTGTGGGTATTGAGAACGAGTGTATGTGAGTGTGTGAGTGTGCAAGTGTAAGGATGTGAGGATTGTGTGCGTGTGAGAATGAGTGTGCAAGTGTGTGTGCATGTAACAGTGAGTGTGTGGGTGTGTGAGGGCGAGTGTGGAGTGAGTGTGACTGGGGCTGGAGGGTGTGTTTTCTCTCTCTCTGAATGAACACACGCCCGTGCCCTTGCCCCTCCCCGCCCCTCCCCCAGACGCTTTCTCAGGCCGTGGGAACCGGCTTTGTGCTCCGCAGTGTCGTAAACTCCCCTTCTCCCGGCCCGCAGCGGGGGCACTGAATGGGGGGCTGCACTGAAGGTTCCCACTAGGTTCCGGGGGCAGGTGCGTGTGGAGAGCCCCTCCCGCAGGCTGGCGGTCTTGGCTGTGTCGGACGGACGGCTCGCCCTGCCTCTCCCCACACGGCAGCTTTGTTCTCCCTACAGCGGTGCCAGAGCTGTCCCCCTGGGGTTTCTGGCCCGCTTCATGTCTGCGAACACCACTCACCGACTCTCAGGTCCCATCGCGGGTTTGTCTTCTGTGGCTTGGTGACCCTCGGTGGCCAGCTCCGTAAGCAGGCCAGCTGCAGGGAGAAAGGGCAGGCGGGGTCCTGGGCGGGCCGGGGGCTGTGGGCAGTCGGGACCCTGGGAGCAGGGGACACTTCTGAAATGCCCCTCATGGTTGAGAACGTGTGACTGATGAGACGTCGCACGGGTGTGTGTGTGAGTGTTCACTCGGAGGAGGACCCCCCACCCCGACTCACTCTTCTTTAGATCAACCAAGGCCACCAACCCTGGGGCCAGGGCTCTGAGCCGGGAACACTGCCCAGGGTGGCGCTGGTAGCCCCGGCTCCCCCGTGATGGTGGGGGTGTCGGTGCTTTAGCGGCTCTGCTGAGGATTTGAGGCCGGACAGGTGTGCTGAGGCCGCCTCACCCCTGCCCACTGCCCCCAGGCCCCCAGCCCGTCGGCCGGCCCCGTGGAGCCACGTTGAGGGCCCAACCTGCCCCTGCTCGGGCCCTAAGGAGAGGCTTGTGGGCAGTTCCTGGGCACTGTCCTGCCCCAGACCCCGGGTTCCAGTCCTCCCTGTGGCGCATGTCTAGCAGGACCTGCTCACCGCTCTGGGCCTACAGAGTGGACAGATGCGCCAGGGTCAGGGTGGGGATGCCTGTCCGCCCCACTGCCTGCCCTGAGAGACAGTGCATGGAAACGTGGCCCTAAACTCATTGGGTGTCCCCTAGCCGTGGCTCGTGAGTGTGGCCCCTCGGTGTGGCCTGTGAGTGTGTCCCCTGGCCCATGAGCATGGCCCCTGGCGAGTCCCGTGAGTGTGTCCCCTGGGTATGACCCATGAGTGTGTCCCGTGAGCGTGGCCCCTGGCCCATTCCCCATGAGTGTGTCCCCTGGGCAGGTCCTATGGGCGTGTCCCAAGAGCATGTCCCTGGGTGTGACCCGTGAGTATGTCCCCTGGGCATGTCCCGTGAGTGTGGCCCCTGGCCCGTGAACATTGCCCCAGGCGTGTCCTATGGCCCTGGCCCATGTCCCATGAATGTGTGTGTCCCATGAATGTGTCCCCTGGCGTGTCCTGTGAGTGTGTCCCCTGGTGTGACCCATGAACGTGTCCCCTGGCATGTCCCATGAATGTGTCCCCTAGCGTGTCCCATGAATGTGTCCCCTGCATTTTCCATGAGTGTGTCCCCTGGCCTGTGAGCGTGGCCCCTGGTGTGTCCCATGAGCATGTCCCCTGGCCTGTGAGCGTGGCCCCTGGCGTGTCCCATAAGTGTGTTCCCTGGCGTGCTGTGTGCATGTGCCCCTCCTGCTGGCCGTCAGCCCCTGCAGGCACACTTGTGGTCCCTCCGCTCACCTGCCCTGCTCTTGAGTTCACCTCTTGGGCTCTCCCGAGCTCCTGGGTACAGCTCAGCCCCCCATGGTTTCAGGCAGCTCCTGTGCTTGTGTGTGCAGCCGAGAGTGCTCCCTGCCCGCCATGTGCCTGAGAGTGCTCCCTCCCCGCCCATGCGTGTGCAGCCAAGAGTGCTCCCTCCCTGCCTGTGCATGTGGCTGAGAGTGCTCCCTCCCTGCCCGTGCATGTGCAGCTGAGAGTGCTCCCTCCCCACCCATACATGTGACTGAGAATGCTTCCTCCCCACCCGTGTATGAAACTGAGAGTGCTCCCTGCCCACCTGTCCATGTGACCAAGAGTGCTCCCTCCCCGCCCATGCATGTGACCGAGAATGCTCCCTCCCTGCCCGTGCGTGTGACCGAGAGTGCTCCCTCCCCACCCATGCATGTGACTGAAAGTGTTCCCTCCTTTCCTGTGCATGTGCCTGAGAGTGCTCCCTCCCTGCCCGTGCGTGCGGCCGAGAGTGCTCCCTCCCACCCAGTGAGGTGCTCCCTCCAGCAGAGTTGGAGGGTTTGACAACAGCACATGCGCTGAAGCCAGCACCTCCCAGTCAAAGCAGAGAACAGCCCCACACACCCCACAGCTCCCCGCACCCTTGGCCTGCCTCATCCCCTTCCCCCCCCCCCCCCCCCGCCAGCCTGAAATCCAACGAGCTCCTGGGGCCACAGCATTTGGCCGGCTGGTCCTGCCCGGGAGAGCACGGCTCCCCGAGTCCAGGCCCCCGCCCCACGCTCTGCTCTGCCAAGGTACCTTGTTTCCTGCTTGAGGGATGCTGGACGCCGTCCAGGCTCTCCTGCGTCTGTGGCAGCCACGCTAAGTATTCAGAGAGGCTGTGTGTGTGGCTTCCTGTTTCTCCTGGGGACGGGGCCTGGGGTCCCGCTGGGCCCTGAAGAGGGAACGGCCAACTCTTTCTTTCCCCTGCAAGCGCTCTGTCCTGTCTGCCTGTCCGTCGGCTAAGTGTGCTCTCCCGGACCTGTGGGGGCGTGGGTTGTTTCTTTGAGATTTTGTTTGATTTTTGTTGATTGGAGGCAACACCTGGCAATACTTGGGTTCCTCCTGGCTCTGCCCTCAGGAATCCCTCCTGGCAGTGCTTGGGGGACCCTATGGGGTGCCAGGGATCAAACCCGGGTCGGCCGCGTGCAGGGCAAGGACCCCGCCCGCTGGGCTGGTGCTGGCCTCTCCCTGGGAGCTTGACCTGCACCGTTGCACAGAGGAGTGGCGCGTCACCGTGCTCTAACTTGCTGCGTGGCTCTGCCTTGGTGCGAGTGGCCGTGGTGCAAACGTCTCTCTGGATCTTGGGTCTGTTGTCCAGGTCACTGTTAGCCTGTTGTGGCCCCGTGTGGGGCTTCCTGCCACAGGCACATGGCCACGAGCACCTGGCCTAGGGGGTTGTACACGTGGGGAGGCTTCTCCTAAGGAACAAAGTGTGTTCCTTCGTGTCCTAGCCACGGCCTCGGTTTCCCCTGGCCGCCGTCAGGGTGCTACCCACGTCTGCTGTCCCCTGCCGCTCCGCCTGTCACTCAGGGATGGCTGCGCCCCTGCCCGTCCTGGACACAGCCCTCTTATCCCCTAGCCATAGAGAAGGGAGGGCGTGCCAGCCCACTAGGTGCTGGGTGAGTGTACCCCGTTATCATACGTTCGGCCCCTCTGGCCTGCAGAGTGCCTCACCCGGGCCCGCCAGCTGCATGCGGCCTCTTGGAGTCCCATCTCTCTCAGCGTCTCCTCCCCGCGCCCCAGCACAGACGGGGCGTCCTCAGGGTTGCTGCTCCGCCTCCCCAAGAATCCCTGCCTTTAATCACTCTGTTTAGACCATTTATATTTAATGGGACTTTTGATGGATGTGTACTAAAATCGACCATCTTGCCCCTCATTTTCTTTACGATCCATCTGTTCTTATCTCCTCCTTCTCTGCTGCTGCTTTAGACGGAGTATGTATTTTTATGCTTCCATTTTTATCTCGGCTATTGACTCATTATTTAC